GGCTTTTAGTTTTGATTACAGCAGTGAAACTAATTAAAAGTCATATGAGTAATTCATTTTCAGTCAGATAAAAGACTATGAGCTAGTTTGTGTGAAAACTAACCTATTTTGGTGTTGCTAAGAGAAATCTACAAAAAAGACTGTAATGAGTGGTAAGCCATCATAAGTAAACCTTGGTTTATTCTTTCAAAATGAAAGGAGCACAGAGGGCAAAGCAGCATGGAAATATGTTTTAGCAAAATATTTGTCAATAGACTGATGGGATAGCAGTCTACTGCAGTTAGTTTCCACAGTTTCCGTGTCCATCTCATTTATCTCAGCTCTCTAATGCCTTTTAAAAATATTTTACTTATTATTTATATTTTGTGTACATGAGTGTATTGTCTGCATGTATGTAAGTGCACTCTTGTCATGCAATGCCTGTGGTGGTCAGAAGAGGGCATTGGATCCTCTGGAACTGGAGTTACTGACAGTTGTTAGCTGCCATGTGAGTGTTAGGAACCTAACCTGGGTTTTCCCCAAGAGCAGGCAGTGCTCTTAGCCACTGAGGCATCTCTCCAGATCCCTCTAGTACCTTTTATTTTACAAACTTATTGAATTTTCATGTATTTCATACAGAACATCTTTCATGTTTTACGCCCTTCCCCATCTTCACCTTCCCTTAGACCTCCCATTAGATTTTGTGCATTCTGTCATTTGTGTAAAGACCTATCGATTCAGGTTAGTGTCCCCAGCCATCCCTCAGTGCAAGTTCATTCACTGGACTTGCCAGCTGCCAACTGCCCACAGGTGGGCTGACAGGAAGGTGCCTTCTTTGAGAGGCTAGGATATTTGAGGTGCAGGATGCACCACTTGAGAAGTGGGGGCTTCTCCCTGCCTCTCCTGTCACCCTCCCGTCTGGGCTGGGGAACGCCTGGGAAATGAGCAGCCCTCAGCATTTTACCTGTGGAGGCTTAAGTTGGAGCTACCTCAGTGCAGGGACAGGAAGAGCCCTTCTAGCCTCAGGCTGGTGGACGGCCCAGCAAGGGGTGAGCAGGGATTGTCCCCCCCACAGCTTCTGGTCAGCTTCTCATACCACAAATTTTGTTTGCAATAAAGACCCTATAAGCTAAAAAAAAAAAAAAAAATAGTCTGAACTCTAGTCAACCTATCCACTGAAGGCTAGTCAGCCTATCTAGAGTCCCTCCCTTTAAGAAAATCGGCTCTTCTTCACTCAGCAGTAATCAACTACCAATACTTCTTTGGCTTAGATTGGGGCCTGGCACAATTTGGGGAAGTTCACTAACACATGGAGGCAATCCAAGTACTCTCAGGTGGTCTGCTAAGGTCTCAGCCCTTACTCTATTGTACGGCAAAGAGGTCTAGCCCTGGCAAAGTAGGAGGGGGTGCATGTGATCCCAGTTAGGGAGTTGGGCACTGAGGGATTTGGGGAAGCTCACTACCATATGGAGATTGACTATGGTCACAAACAGAGATTATCTTTGAATTGCCCAAGTCTCAGTGGAACATAGAACAAGGGATGAAGAGAACACTAATGCATCTTTCAATTCTCATCGATGAAGCTCCCTCATGCAACAGAGGATAAGGAAAGCAAAAGGTCACAAATGGCCAAAATGCATAGAATAAGAGTCTGCAGAATGTGGGTCCTTGTACAGGAATCCCACCCAGGACTCAGGGACCATTGTAGAAGAGGGGCAGAAAGATTCTAAGAGCCAGGGAGGAGGTGCATAACCTTAAGGAAATCGTCCTACAGGCTCCTGGGACTCTTCTCATAGGAATCTACAGCAATGGTGTCAACATCCACAAGACCCATGCAAACTTAAGCAAAAAACCCAACATAGAACTGTGGAAATGAGCATCAGGACCTAATCTTAGTCAAAAAAATTATTGGCAGCTGATTACTGCTGGGTGAGGAAGAGTTGATCTTAAAGGGAGGGACTCTAGATAGGCTGACTAGATACCAGTGGATGAACTTTCACTGAGGGACATCTGGGGACACTAACTTTACGTGATAAGCCTTAACACAAATGACAGAATGTATGAACTCCAGTGGGGGGGGGCTACGAGAGGTTGCCAAAGGGGAAGGGGATATGAAGATGATTTTCTACATGAAATACACAAAAATTCTATAAAATTAAAAAAAAAAAATGAGTCCTGCTGCCCATTTCCACAAAACAGTTCTTTGGAGCTGCAGAGATGGCTCAGTGATTAGGAGCACTTTTTACTCTTCAGGTCCCAGCACCCACATGACAGCTCACAACTGCTTATAACTCCATTTCAGGGGATCTGACACTTTTTGTGGCCTCCAAGGACTCCTGCATGCATGTGGTGCACATAAACTCAGGCAGGCACATGTATATACACATAAATAATAAAATTTTGAATTCCCTTACATTGAATTTTCTCTATTAAAATTATTGACAACCTTGTTTTTCTAATTAGCTTCTGTCTATGGCAAACTTATCTACTTATGTCTATTTTATGAAAGAATAAACTGAAATACAAGGGACTCAGTAGCTAGTGTACTATTTCAGAGCTATGGGGAAGCAAAACTAGAATGTGGGTCAGCTTTATAAGCACAAACATCGTTAAATTTTCAGGAGGTGTCAGATGGAGAAGGACAACTACAAAACGTGTGCTTTCAAATTTTAAAATGTAATTTTAGATCAAAAGTATAAGAACTCTAATCATCTGCTTCTCCCTTTCTTCAAATCTTTCCCTGTATGTTTATCTATCTATCAATATACAGGTTCAGTTTTAGTCCCCTTCCAACTCACAAGTACTGTGCTAGCAAAAGGGTTATAAGAAAAAAGCTATGAATATATGAGGGCAAAAGATGATTGCACATGGCAAATAGTGTGAAGACTATGTCATTGTGAAGGTAGTTGGACAAAATGGAGTAAAGCAGAGAAAATAAGCAGAAGTCTGCAGCGGGATGAGAATGTGCCTCAGAAGCCATGAGGGTTCGGAAATGGAGGAACTGGGTCTCTTTCTGTAAGACTGATATGGAAATAGAAGAATTAATTAAAATTATTGTAAATAGCAGACCATCAGAATCACTTCCCTATATTTTGTAGCTCAGCAGTCACATCTCCCAACAAACTAGTAGATATGACTTAAAGAACAGTCAGAGTTTGGTAAAGTTCATGTTGCCAGTTGCCTTAATGAAACAGTTGCATAAGTGTAAGGATGGGAGGAAATTCAGATTTGCATGTGTAAACTTGAGTGGTGGGAAGAGTCTCAGGATGTGGTAGATAGCTGATGGAGAAATTGAATTAGCTAGTCTATAATGCTGTTTTATTTTTGTATACGAATAAAACAAAGATGATAGCGATATATGGCAAGGTGCATTCCAGATTTCAGTTATATGGATGTGCATATTTTCTGTAGGACAGAAGGAAATGAGAGACTATTTGGTGAGAAAGCAAATATGAATCAGTTGTATGTGGAATGAATACAGAAACTTGCCTACAATGTTTTCTATCATCTATTATCTTGAAGAAAGAATGATACCTTAAATTCATATAATACAGACCACAAACGTGTGGCTTGTTGTCAAGCTTAACCTCAAGAAGTACTTGCCAGCACTTTGAAACAACAACAAAAAAGTATTTAAAAAGAAGTCTTATAGGGCTAGAAAGGTGATTCAGATTTTAAGAGCACTGGTTACTCTTGCAGAGAATCCAGGTCCCAGCTCCCATATGGTGACTACCATCTTTAACTCCAGTTCCAGGGGATCTGGTGTTCTCTTCTGGCCTCTATGGGCATTGAATGCCTGGGTGCACTTATATACATGTTGGCAAATCACTCATACACATAAAAATAAATAAGCCTGGCATGGTGGCATACGCCTTTAATCTCAGCATTCTGGAGGCAGAAGCATGCAGATCTCTGGGAGTTCAAGGTCAGCTGAATCTACATAGCGAATTCCAGGCCAGCTTGGGCTACAGATAGACCCTGTCTCAAAAAGACAAAAAAATAAATAAATTAACAAATTAATAATTACAGTTTTAAAAATGAAATCCGATTTGAAGCCTTTTTGAAAGACTAAAACAAGCCACAATACTACACATGCAAAATGTGGCAAAGTGGTAGAAATTTTCCTTAAGATATTTCCTTAGAGATTCCCTAGTTCCCATCACTAATTTTGGTTCTCTTTGTAACCTGTACCATCATTTGATGTGCCCTGATAATATACCTGTCTCCTGAGTATCACCAAGCCACATGTGTGAAATTGAAAATTAGTTACCTATGTTTTTCAGAAAAGGAATAGATTGTATCAAGGGAGCCCATTCCGTTTCTCCTGCCCATAGGTTGAGAGTCACAGATGAAGTAAAATACCACTTATAAAATAATTCTGGATTGCATGAATGCCTCCAGTAATTGGTACTGAACTTTTCAGGATCATACAAATCCATTCTTATAAGCTCATCTAGAAACCACTGTCACTCATGGGTCTTATCCACCATTCATTAAAGATTGACCAGTCTTAGAAGACTGGCCCTTCTGGACTTGTTCATGCAAAGTAATTTATCAAATTCTGGTCTTTGACATGGGATTTAGTTTTCAAAAACTGACAATAAAACACAGCTCAAAAGAGGCATCATAACTTATTTTATTTGAATAATAGTCATTAAAGGAGTACAAGGCAATGTTCACTCTTATTTTCAAGAAATCATTCTTATACATTGACTCACTGGTCTTCCATTCATTTTACAAACCAACGAATATCAACACAGAATGATCGAGAGGCTGTACTATTGCAAGGGAAGATCAATTGAGGGAGCATAAGCTATAGTCTCAGAAATGTTCAATGTGTGAAATCATTTCATCTAAATGTGGTTAAGAGTTGGTTATTAATGTAGGACTAAGACATGATTATTAACTGGTACCAAGATAACAACTTCTTTAAAAATGGCCTCAAATTAATTATAAGAAAGTTTTCCCAACACGCAGCAAGATTTGCTATTTTCATGGTACTCATTTCTAGCCTATAGAACTCATCTTTTCCCTTGATTCATTTTGTTGTCTAATGAAATCATTTCATAGGGTTTAGTTTTCTTGTGCAATTTCTCTTCCCTTTTCTTCATAATTTCTTGAAAGTGGATTTTCTCTTTTGCCTCTTCATCTTTCAGTCTCTGGGCCTCACATATTATCTCTACTTGCTTCCGGGTCTCTATTTCTTTCTGCCACTGTTATAGAAAGAACAGTTCCTTTACACAAAATTTTCCATGACAGAAGTATACATCAAATTAGCTTTTCAAAGGCACACTCTTATATAGCATTCTCTTCTCACTATTTTTCAGAGGATTTCCTCAAGAATCTTATACTCTACCATATTTGAAAAATACATGAACAGATCATGCCCCACAGAAACAGAACTACCTCTTAAAATTTTGTAAGTAATATATCATTCAAAAGCAGAATTAAAGCAATGTAATTTTGTGTCCCAGAGGATTTTGCTGTCCCTATCAATATTGGTATTTCCGTGACAATATACATCATAAAATAAAATAAATCACGCTAAAGCAAAACAAAAAGGGGGGGGTACAAAAAAATATAAAGACACAGTATGATACAGTTCCAGATGAGGTTGAAAATGAAATTAATGGTCAGACAACTGCTTTCAGTGTAGCAGACCAGTAGAATGTTTCTAAAGTTGTCAGACATGGAGAGCACTAAGAATGGGAAATCAGTGTTGGAACTAATGATGATGAAAGAACCAAACACCATGAGGAGCTTTCTCTTTTTTTCACACATTTGATGAAGAAAATGGTTAAAAGAGAAATAAATCCTCTTCAGACTGAGTGAGAGGTTGAGAGCAGCATCAGTCCCGGAATGACTTTCTAAGAAGTCCACACTCTTCCTTTTGTCACCCTTAGTTCACATATGCACAGAATGGACTAAGCTACATGTTCCTGGACTATGTGCTGTGAGATGTACAGATAACAGTAAACAGAACTAAAGCTCAACACTGGTAGCTTGCCATTCAGCCTTGCTGAAGATCATACAATATTGCAAAATTTTGGAGCACTCATATGAGTAAACATTAAAATCAAAATATTATAACATCATATATAATTACAGTATATGGCCTGTGTAAATTTTTAAACGTTTACTAGCACTAGTTACTAGCACTTTTCTTCACACTCTTAATGCTTACATTTTTGGTTTTTCAAAAAACATTTTTTATAAAATATAGAAAAAAAAAACATCAAGGCAAAGCATCTAAAATATTCAAGCACAGGCTGAAATCGGTTTACAAACATTTGATATTCTACAGTCACAGATAGTTTATTCTCATATAATAAGCCTCATTCTTTATTTATTTTATTTTATTGCTTTGTGAAAAATCCACAGAGGATTAACTCTTTTATTTTTATTTTACTGTTTGGTAGTTTCATACAATTATATAATGAATTTTAGTCATTTTAGCCCTCACTCCATTCCCTTCTCTCATTCCCCTCCCTCTCCCACTGGAGCCCTCCTTCTCTACAAGTCCTCCTCCAGCTTTCATGTCTTCTTTCTGCATGAGACCTACTGAATTTAATTAGTATTTCTTGCCCAAGCATGGGTAGAAGGTTATGTACCGGAGCAAAGGCCTCATCAGTGCCTACACAAATGAAGAATGACCAGTAACTGCTAGTAGTGCTTTGGGGAGATGTGGAGGCTCATGGGCCTCTCCCTCGTGCATGAGAAATGTTGACATGCCCAATCTTGTGCAGGTAACCACAGCTACAGTGAGTTAATGAGTGCACTGTATCGAGAGGACATCTCTTTGCTGTGTATCTCCTGATCTTCCGGCTTTTACACATCACTTATTTTTGGCACTTTGATCAGTTATTATCCCCGCCCAATGTAGTAAGAAACTTCTCTGATATCAGCTGGGTGCAGCACTAATCTCTGGGTATAAATATGATTATATAGAGAACAGTTTAACAATACATACATTTAACAAAACAGTAATAGTAGCTATCTCACTATGACCTTCCAAACCATGGGCTGTTCACTAGATTTATGTACTAATTATGTATTCTCTCCCATGAAGCAGGCCTCAAATCCAAGGAGAAAGTGGTTGGCTACTCCCATAACAGTCATGTTATGATTTCTCTAGAGGGCACAGGTCATTCTTGTAGCTCATAGGATTCACAATCTGGTGAGAGTGTTGATAACATTTTTCCCTAAGTATCTATCCTAGCATCTTCTTTCACTGCCAAATCAAGTAAGTGGGGAGGAAGATTCTAGCTCAGCTCCAACTTTATCTTTGTATGTATTATGAGCAAGTCTGTGGTGTCTTAGCAATGTCTTACCATCAAGTTCTGGTAGGCAGTGGCAAGAGAAATGGTTATAGCCTATATTGTTTTGATGGCCCTGGAGCCTTCCTGAAGGTCAAGAGCCTACAGGGAGTTATTCCACAGTTGCACAGAGATTTTCGTTTAATGACCCACTGTTTGGGGGAAGGAAATTATCCAGCCATGGAGACTACTTCCAGTTAAACTTTCTGTTGTTGTTGTGTAGCTTATATTCTGAATAAGTTTATGAAAGAGTAGATTTTCATTACTCTTAGCTTTTGATGCCCTTCCCTCCTTGCTTAGACCTTTTCACCCCTTTCCCCTTGCATGTCTGATGTTTTTACTATCCCCTCTCTTAGGCCTTTTCTCCTTTCTTCCTTCTAATGACCCCTTTCTGTCTTTCTGGCTTTATGGGTACTCAAATTTAAACACACTACTCTAAAAATTCGTAGCTAGAATTTATATATAAGAGAGAACATGTGGTGTTTGTCTTTCTGACCTGGGTCACCTCATTCAGTATAATATTTTCCAGATCCATCTATTTCCCTGTAAATCTCATTCTTCTTTACTACTGAATAAACTTCAGTAACAGATGTATCATATTTTATGTATTCATTCTTCCACAGATGGAGGTCAAGACTGGTTCCATTTCTTCATTGTTGTGGAAAGGGTAGCAATGAACATGGAGGTGGGTTATCTCTGCTGTAAGGTGTGGAGTCCTTTTGGCATATGCCCAGAAGTAGTATATCTGTGCCATGTGGCAGCTCTAGCTTTAGTTTTTTGAGATACCACCATAGCATCTGCAGTAGTTTGCACTCTCACCTACAGTGAGAGTGCCCCTTTTCCTCAATCCTTGTCAGCATTTGTGGTTATTTATCTTCCTTTTCATTTGTATTTTGTGTGTATGAATGTTTTACCTGCATGTATGTAAATGTGTCATGTGTGTGTGCAATGCCCACAGAGGCCAGAAGAGTGCTGGATTCCTTGGAACTGGAGTTGCAAACAGCTGTTAGCTGCCTTCTGGGTGCTGGGAACCAAACTCATGTGCTCTGCAAGAGCAGCCAGTGCTCTAAACCACTGAGCCATCTCTCCAGCCTTATCACTTATCTTTTTTATAATAACCATTTTGACTAGAGTATAAGGATATCTCAAAGTACTTCAAATTTGCATGTCTCTGATGACTAAGGATGTTGAATATATTTTGAAGTATTTATTAACCATTTGTGTTTGTTCTTATGAGAACTCTGCCTTTAGTTCCATACACAACTTTTTAATTAGGTTGTTTGTTTTCTTGATGTTTAGGTTTTACACTCTTTTTACATTCTAGATAAAGATTTTCTCCTATTTTGTAGGTTTGTTTATCCTAAGGATATCCTCTGAAGAACAGAAGTTTTCTAATTTCATGCGGCCCTACTTGTCAATTGCTGGCCTTATTTTCTGAGCAACTGGAAAGTCCTTACTTATGCAAATGACTTTCAGTGACTCTCTACTTTATCCTTTAGTATCTTCAGGTCTAACACTGAGGTCTTTTATGCAGGGTAAGAGATAAGAATCAGGTTTCATTCTTCTAACCTGTTTCATCTAATTTCCCAGGACCATTTGCTAAAGATGCTATCTTTTCTTCAATGTGTATTTTTGGCTTCTTCGTAAAAAATCAAATAGCTGTAGTTGTGTGAACTTATATCTCTATCTCATTGATATATGTGTCTATCTTTTATGCTGGCACCATGCTGGCTATTTTTTTTTTTTTTTCTTTCTTTTTTTTTGCTATGGCTCAGTAGTGTAACTTAGAATCAGATATTGTGACACCTACAGCAGTGTTATTCAGGATGGCTTTGGCTATTTTGAGATCTTTTGTGATTGAGATTTCACTGGACTAGATTTTTTTTTGTACTGTGGCCATTCTCTAATATTAATCTTGCCAGTCAATGAGTGTATGTTCTTTCCATGTTCTGAGTTCTTCTTCAATTTCTTCATTGTTAAAGTTCTCATTGTAGATATTTTTCATGTCCTTGCTTGGGTTTATTCCAAGATACTAACTGTCTTAAGGTATTATAAGTAAGATTGATCCCCTGATCTCTTTCTTTGTATGCTTGTCATCAGTATGTAGGAAGAGCAATAATTTAGGTGCATTGGTTCTGTAACTTGTCACTTTTCTGAAAGTGTCGCTTCTGGGATTTCTTGGTGGAGTCCTCAGGGTCTCTAATGCATAGAATGTCATGTGAAAAAAAGGAATACTTTGACTTTCTTTTTTCTTTCTGCCTTTGTATCCATCTTTTCTTTCCTTATCTTGCCCTATTGGTCTAGCTAAGATTTGAAATACTATATTAAGTAGGAGTGGGAAAAGTGGACACCCATTTCTTAGTCTTTATCATAGTAATAATGTTTTGAGGTTTTCCTCCATTTTGCATGTTTGTGGCTATAGGTTTGTCAAATATAATTGTTGTTAAGTTGAGGCACATTCCTTCCATTCCTCATATATCCAGGCCATTTTCATTGGGGGGTCATTGCTATGGGATTGGCATTTGGGGGAGGAGATAACTTTTCTCGGTTTTTCGTTTTCTGTTTTTTGTTTTTTTTTTTTGGCGTGTGTGTGGGGGGGTGTGTACTTATCCATCTGTAGTTAGATCACTGGTTAAGACATTTGTTGTTCTTTTAGACTAGGTTATAATAGAGTTGAAGTAACATTTTCTTCTTTTAGACTGTTATTCAGGGCATCAGACTCTATCCCCATACCCCTACTGAAATTTGAGTACTACCTGTGGTAATAGTTTACTGTCCATCAGCAAACCCACCTTGAAAATCAGTGTTAGTTGACTACAGAGCAGTCATTCCTAAAGTACCAATTTTTAAGGAAGTAAAGGAATACCAGTAGTACTATGTGTACTAGTATATTAGTCATTATGGGTTATGAGTGGAGTAAATAAAGAGCAGGAGAGAAATCACAGTGGATTAGTGATGAGTATTACGTTTTTAGTTAGAAAGAAAAGGTGGGGACACACATAGAAGAGGAATAGTAGAAGCAAAGGGGAAAATGGGAGGGACAGACAAGAGTTTGGATTAAAAGCACATTGGAAAGAGGTGAGTAAAGGTATGAACTCAGTATAGAACATCTCATCTCTCAGGAGGTTGAATCACAGAGACTGTAAATTAGAGAAGCCTGAGCTCTTTGGGAAATGTAAAAGAATGGTAGATGCAGAGGAAAACAAACAGAAGTAAGACATGTGAGGGATGAGGTGGATCTCAACAGTTGACCTGGGTAGTATATAAGTAGGAAGCACACTCTGGAGGGGAATAAGGGCTGGGAGACATGGAGTGGGTTGGACGCTCAGCTGACTTCCTAACCCGACCAAGCAGTGAGCCTTTTTAATTCCCCAAACAGCATGTATAAATTCATCAATTGGCATGAAAGCTGTTAATAGGGTATCATATCGCTATTGTCTAGGAAATAACTCCTCTTCCTCTTTGTTTCTTCAAACTTCACAAGGTTGCAATTTATAATATCGAAGCCGTTCTCTTCATTAGCTTCCCCACCCAAAGTTTAATTCCTGTTTGCTTCAGCTGCTGCTGACTAGTTCAGTGTAGACGACATATTGCATTGTTTTGACTTTTACCTGCCATTATTATTGTCTGTTGTGGTAGTTAGGAAAATGCAGATATGCTTGAAGCTGAAAATGGAAGCACCTTTTAAAACTTGGTTCATCTCATTTACTCAATGGTTCAGTCATCATTCTGTGGATTACTGGCAATGTACAAGATAATTGAGCATTTGCTGAATAATGAAGTCTCTCCCCTGTTCTTAGCATTTTATAGCCACTCAACAAAAGTCAGTTGGCTTAGAAGAAGAATTTTATCCATAGCTACAAGTATATGTGTTCCTCTCAACATATACTTCAATCTACAATTCTGCCTAATGAGTATAATCTAAGAATGCAGTCAGCTATGATAAGGTGAAAGGGACAGTAGAAGCAACAAGATCTGAGGATTTCACTTTGTGCAGAGACTCAGTAATTTACTCACTTTAAAACTCTGGGTGAGTACTTTGATTGCAAACCACTAATTCATTATTCCTACTGGTGAATGTGTTACAGGGTTGCTGTGATGACTGAATTAACTATTGTCAGAGATTGTTTAAAAATGTGACCTATTAAGGACAGTTACTAATTTATTCATTTAAAGGAGATGGTATATCTAAGGATACTTCAGTAATATAACACTCAAAGACACATCCAAGACCTTTCTCAGATTAAAACTACAAACTATTAGCTGTTTTATTAGACAGCATATAAAATAATTTGGATTTAGTAATTTCTATAGCTTTTTTTCAGACAGGATTCTTTTGCCCTTAGTCCACGATAACATAAGCAGGCTCACAGTGATTTCCTACATAATGCTTACAGCCTTGGAAAGGACAAAAGATGATGGTTGCTAGACATCATTTTGCAGACTTTTCTCTCATTCAAAATATTATCTTCTGTCTTGTTAAGTAATCTTAAGAATCCTAAATGCATTTGAAGATAACATATACATATATATACATATATGTATGTATGTATGTGTGGATATGTTACTTGTATACATTATATAATAAGAGTAGATATAAATATGTTACCTAGGTATAATGTTGACAAGTTCTCTCTTTTAATGTATGCTAGATCATTTAGTTGAGGTGAATAAGAAAATATAAACTTTGAAACTTATAAACTATTAAAAAATTTTGAGAGTGTCATGTATATTTAACATATTGGTCGGCAAAATCTTTGTTAATACACAATAGAATAATAGCAACAGCTCTGATTTTGTAATGCAAAGGTATCAATCAGTCCCCAAACCCAGTGCTTATCACTATTGTTAGAGTAGTTTAAATTAGTAGCTAAATAACTATTCAATGTGCTCAATAAATGAAAAAAGATCTTAATTTTTCAGAAAATATTAATTAAGAAGAATGCAACATAATTAACTTGGTAATATAACCAGAATCTTGTAGATAATATTGAACTACTAGCAATAAAACTAATTTTAACATATTTTGTATGCTGTGGATTCCAGGTTATATTTAGAAATAACAGAATATAACATCCTCTCTTACTCTAGCTCTATTGCTTTAAAAATGTAGGTATAAATTAATGTTCATTAGATAAGAAATTATCAGCTAAGCATAGCAAAATGAATTAAAGTATTTCATATGAATAGTCATATCACCACAGCTTGCTTAACTTACACTATGAACAAGGTGATTGATAGTCTTTCAGGTCTGTTAATGGTAAGGAATGGCCACTAAAAACCGAGTCAAAGATTTTGTTCCATTATCAGAAACACACTGTAGTAGAAATCAGTGTTCAGTACCTAATATCAGATTATTGTCTAAAAACATCAGTACTAATTCAGGAAACAAGATTAAGTTTCTTTTTTCAAAAATTATAGTGCCTTAGTTAAGGCACTGCGGTATGGCATTGTGGAATCCTGTAGTGAGTCATAATTAAGGTTGGCAATGTCTAATCATGACTCACTTTTAAATATCACACACGAATGCTTCAGTCTTAGGACTACATTTTGTAAAACAATGTGATTTTGAAAAGCTATTTTTTTCTAATTTAATAAAGTTGATCTTACATGATGGTCAATGATTTCTGCCAATTTCTTATCCATCTTGCTGAAGTAATCTGGATATGGAAACGTAGAAATGTTCAACATAGAATGATGATCCCTTCAAAAGAACACACAAAAAAAACCAGATCCAGCATTAGGATTAGGTAGTCTTCCTCCTTAGAATAAAATGGATTTATAAAGTCTTAATTTACTATCAACCACCTTGATCCTACATTGCCAACCTGACATGTAAAGCAACGAGATGGTGGTAAAGGAAGGTTTTGAGGGAGAATGTAGAGGGGAAAGTCTTAGGGAAGGTAACAAGGAGAGAATGCTCCTGAAAATTTTCCATACCCTCAAAAACATCTGATCAGTGTTCTAGTCTGGAAAGCATATCAGTTTTTTCAAGTTTTTAGTGGGCTTTGTATCCTTGATCTCTGTGCTCTGTTCTGCACAAAGCTTGTCAAATCTCCATCTACTTTTATCTGAACCATCGGTTCTCATCTTTCTCCTGGACTCGTGCCTCTTGTTTGAATTACCCAACCCATAGTCCTTTCCCATTCTATTCTTGTCTACACATAGAAACTAGAAACTATATTCTTAAAATTCAGTCATCTCAATTTCCCACCTCACACCGTTCAATATATCACCATTAACTACAGGATTCCAGATCACACTAAGGAAGTTGGAGGTGTGCTGTGATATGTTAAAGTAGTTTAATTTGGTCCCCAGTCTTACCTCTCTTGGAAATTCTTCTTTATACTTACCTCAGCTGCAATTTTACATTTGTAATGCACCCACGTGAATTTTATATTTTCCTTAGTACAGGATGAGCTGCCCAACCAAGAAACCAAGGAGATTTTTGTGTTTGCTTATCAGCCTCAAGTGCCCATCATAGTATCACTAAACACCCTATAAATGTTGTATGTTTGCTGAATGATTAAAGAGCAGATGAAAATTCCAATATGCTTTAACCTTCTACATGTTCCAAGCCATCTACTAGAATCTGTCTCGCAATACTCAGCAGAGCAGGAAACAGGCTTCAGAGTAGAGCAACACTTGTTTCAAAGCAAACAACTGAGGTAACATGTCACCAGGAAGCACAGAGCTCTCTCCCAACCTATGATATTAGGAAGAAAGTGGGCAGAAGCATTGAGCTTTCCATGGCTTGCAGAACACGGCCTTTCACTATTCTATTAAAACACTAAAGAGAAATGTGACCCTGGAAGGCTGGGAGTTGGAGACAGGCAAGGGCTGATACTTAGGTTAACTATATTCGTGCTGTGAAAGCTAGACATTTCTAAAGTTCAAAGAATTATGCTAAATGCTATGAAAAAATAAAATAGACTCTTAAAATTATTTAAAGGTTAAAAGTGTTTAAGAAAGTTGCCTTGAATTCCTTCTTGAATGCTGTGTTAACATTTTTAAAAGTGCAAAACATAATGCTAAAAGGAAAGCTTAAACGAATATGCTTATATATATTTTTTTTTTTCACCAAAAAAGAAAAATGCTCAGATAACCACAAGGCAAAATGAGAAAGTGAAGCAAACATTCAGTGGTATATATGTGTATATAAAAATAGTCAAACACATGGGTTCTCTATTCAGCATATAAATTTGTTCCTTTAATATAGTGTTACTTCACCCTTAAAATGGAAAACTAACAGTTCCTGCTTCATTTTGTTTCTACAAGTTTTAAATGGGGATAAGGTACAGATCGAACACTACCCAAGCATCAACTGCAATGTTATCATGGTTGTCATCAACAGAACTGAAGGAAGGAAGCCACAGCTTTCAGCTAAAACTACCAATTATGGGGAAAGGGAATGAATGAAAGCCAAGACAATTCTGATGAATCCTTACTGAAATGTGGAATTTTGTAATTTTATAATAAGTGAGGAAGTGGAGAGACACTTTCCTGAAATGGATTGTCTCAGAGTTCTGGAGGCCAAAAATCCTAAGTAGCAGGGTTAGTTTAGAGGGGAATGCACTCATGGCCTGTCTCTTAGCTTCTGATGGACCTTGGCCATCCTTGATATTCTTCAGTCAGGGGCTACATTATCCTCTTCTGCCTGCCTCACACAGGCTCTTCCTTCTCTGCCTCTGCAGAGCTTTTCCTTTTCTGTTTCACATAGGAACATTTTTTTTTTTTTTTCAAGAAAATAGGAGTACTTCCATGGGATTTAAGGTCCATATGACCAAAATATACTTAGATGGGTGTCCTTTAGGTTAAGAGCTCTTGACATCCATTTTCTTAGAGTATTAGTAAACTTTACATTGTAAATTCTCTCTTAGCCCTTTGAAATGTAAATTTCCTGACATCTGGGATCCTAACCTGGGATGTCTTTCTCAAGGACTTGGAGGCATTCCTTTGAAAGATAATCAAGGAAGTTAGCCACTAGACTCGCTGGAAGTACAGGAACCTAACAGGTAAATTACAAGAAGCAGACACCTAATCACTCTGACTTGCAAATCTTCTGGCATTTTCCCACTAAATAAACAAACAAAAACATTCTCTTGCTTTTTGTTTTAAGTAAACTGAGTTCAATCTCTTTCTCCTGTTGAGTGGTTTTGAGTAAAATCCTATCTGCCTATTTAATTTATTCAGTGCAATTTTTCTTTGATACAGCACTCTAACCCAGGAAGATCTTATCTTGAGATCCTCATATTAATTCCATTTGAAAAGACTTTTTGTTTGTTTGTTTGTTTTCAAGTAAGAACACATTTGCAGGCACTGGGAGTTAAGACTGGGAAGCATCTTTTAGAAGATACAGTTTGACTCACTATATATGACTAAGCATCTTTTAGAAGATAAAATTTGACACACTATATGACTAAGCATCTTTTAGAAGATACAATTTAACACACTATATATATGACTCAGCATCTTTTAGAAGATACAATTTGACACACTATATATGACTAAATAGTGACAAAATGTCAGAGGGACAAAGAGATTAATTTGGGAAGGAGTGTATACTGGTGTTAGTGGAGCCTAAAATGCCCTGAGGAAGTGCCTCATTTATTTACATTCGTTAGTCAAACATTTACTGCAAAAGCGATGTTCTTATAATTGCCATCCAATAATTTGAAATTCACATTGAGGAAGGCCTAAACTGACACCTACAGGACCCTGGAAGAGCTGCTGTAAGGTAGTATGCTAGAATTCTTTTGAGTAAAAGAGATCTTCCTGAATGGATTATGTATGGATGGTTTTCCCAATAGAATTGTGGTGAATGGATGAAAAGTTTGCTTGTTTCATGTATCAAGGATGAGAAATGCACAGGGTTACTTTCCAAAAAGTTGTGAAGGACATAGTTTCTTTCTTTCTTTCTTTCTTTTTCCTACTTTTATTTATTTATTATTTATTTATTTATTTTATTATTTTAAAAAATTGTTTTTGTCTTTTTGAGACAGGGTCTCCCGGTAGCCCCAGGCTGGCCTTGAACTCACAGAGATCCACCTGCCTCTGCCTCCTGAGTGCTGGCACTAAAGGCATGTAACACCATGCACAGTAGACATAGTTTCTTATGTAGTGTTTTTATTTTTCAAGCCCTTAAAGCTCAGCTAAGTGAAAGTTCCATCCAGCAGGCCAATGGGGCTAGTGGCAGGCACAAATTACCAAGCCTCTGTGACCCTATATCTCACACTGACAGAAGATTCAGCATCAACTAAGCAGATAAATTATTGCTTTGACCTAAGGCAACTGCATTAACTACTGGAAATATCCTAGGAGAGGAAGATACGGTATCAACTACACTGTGCTGGATAGCTTTAATATCAACTTGACACACATGGGTTGAGGGAGCCTCAAGTGGGGAATTGCCTTCATTGGACTGGCCTGTGGCATGTCAATGGGGCACCTTCTTGATTGTTGAGTGATGTGGGAGGGCCCAGCCCACTGTGGGTGGTGCCACCCCTGGGAAGGTGGGCCTGTGTTGCATAAGGAAGCAGGCTGAACAGAGGCCAGGGGAGCAAGCCAGTAAGAGCATTCCTCCATGGCCTGTGCTCCAGTTTATGCCTCAGGGTTCCTGCCCTGAGTTCCTCTCTTGGGCTCCCTGACAAACTGTGACCTGGGATATGTAAGCTGAATAAACCCTTTCCTCCCCAAGTTGGTAGTGGTCAGAGTGTTTTGTATCAGCAATGAAGAATCAAACTAAGACATACACAAACCACAGAACTTCTTCCTTGTTTAACAATTGAATGACTTGCCTTCGAATTATTACAAAGCACTGTATAGCAAGGCTTATGTTTTAGAAACCACTGTAATGTTTGTGTTTCATTATGAAGTTGTGGCTTACAGCAGCTCAATGACCCAACAGACACCCATCATGTAGGAAGTCCAGGATCATTTAACACAATTAGTTAGAAAGCATTGATGACTCATGCAAGTAATCAGGACATGAATTACCAAAATCTAAGAGTAAGGAACCATGAGAAATAAGCAATATTTTGTATACTGTGCTTCTCCCTTGGGCATTTCCCCCAAATACTGCATAGAGCCAAAGGAGACACACACACAAAAAAAAAAAATGGGCAGAGGAATTTTGATTGGCAGAGAAGCCAGCAGAGAATTCAGAAAGCTCATCAGATAGGAAAGAAAAAACAGAGTTCAGAGGGATCAGCACAGCCCCATCCTGAGGACTGGAGCTCAAAAGAAGGGAGAGCCACATTCATAACAAGGTTTGCCCCCAGGGCTCAGCTGAATAATTAAACAGAGAAGGCTAAGTGGCACAGCAGGAGTCACTGCAAAGTCCGCTGGAGATTTCAGATTAGCACCAGCACAAAATCTGAAGTTGAGAATCTTCAAATGGGAGAGACCTTTGCTAAATGTATCAATCTCTCATTTGAATATCCTGAAAATCTACAATGTGGGTTGTTATATTTTAGCCACATGTAGTTTTAAAATTAAAAGTTAGATCATCCTTGAGTCAGGTCATTAGGTAAAAATGGTCTATCATCAATCAAATTACAAGCAAAAGAAAGTAATTGCTTTATGTGGCTCTGAGCAGCAACCAAATTTACAACTTTTCATGAACAAATTTCACCACTCTTTTAAAAAGGGTTAGGCATTACCAGCAAAACATACACAGAAAATTCATTTGAATTGCAAATATGG